AGTTGCTGTTACCTGACTTGAAGGCCACATTGCGGGCTCTGATTAGAGCCTGGACCTCTGATGTCATCCAGGGCTTCCTATTTGGGAAGATCCGAATCTGTTTGGTCATTGTGACATTTTCTACACAGGTTCTGATGTAGGATAGCACCGGCTCTATGTGTGCCTCGAGGTCCTGTTGTTCAAACACTCTCCAGTCTGTGCAGGCAAAGCAGTCCTGTAGCTGTGGGAGGGCTTCAGCAGGTTAGGTGGTGATGGTGTGTGTTGTGGGCTTTGTTTGTTTCCTGAGGGGAGTGTAAGCTGGGACGAGAAACATGGATGAGATTTTCCAATATACCAAACTAGTCAACTGAAGTTAGGCCTGCTGTTTTTATCCTGGATTAATTTCTCCAGTTTTTGTGCTGATTTCTTATTCTAGCTCTTTATTTTAGCATATAAAAATGTTTCAGCTAGAATGAACCTTAACTTTAGCCAACTAAAACCAAACACACACAAAATGTTCTTTATTCTACCTAAACAGTCACACTGTCCACACAAATTCACATTACCCCATATCAAAGATGTTTTTCTCTTCAATTAAAAGCAAAGGTTTGCTAATTGTTTCTGGTTTACCTTAGAATGACTGGAGAAAAAGTAAAATTCACAAAGCTACACTGATCAACAGCTCTGTGATTAAAGGTCAAAGGTGAGGCTTATTTATACCATATTAAAGATGCATTTGAGGTTTTAGCTTCATTTATATTAAAGTTTTAGCGATGAATAATGGTGAGAACCTGGAGCTTCTACAGAACCAACTTTAGCAGGACTTAATTAACAAGAAAAATGTTTCACAGATACGAAGCAGGGTTTCTGTGCATACCATAAATAGTCACACTAATGTCAGCACAAATTCTCATGTCCAATTTGCATCCACTTAAAGAGGTGCTCCTCGTTACTATGCATGCTGACATGAATATATTTCTAGAGAAACACAACGACCCCAAGGTTGCTTTAACCATCATTTAAGAGTACAGTCAAAGCTGGTGTTAGAAATATCCCGCCATATTGCAGGTCCACTGCATCCTTCTAAACACACAGCATCTATGAACATCCACGCAAACACATAATAAATCCAGTATATTAACAATGAACCATAAGTGTCAGGGCTATACGGGCCTACAGTAATGTCTCCCTCTGCTCTGGAAATCATCTCCCCGGCCTTTATTCTGCTGCCTCTGTGAAATTGTGCCCTCAACACCTTATCTTTTAAACATGAACTTGATATTTGATTAGGCTCCAGCGGTGTGTGCAGCCTGCACCAGGTAAGATTCTGTGATATTTTCTTCTGAAGTTTTTAAATTACACTCAGTGAGGAGTGACAAGAGGGACAGCCATGTGATGGTATGACATGTGGTAGGAAGATCAGAGTCAAACCTGGACTTGGTTTTCTAGTCTCTGCGCTCCACGCTTGGGTGGATTTAATGACCAGAGGAAGCTCAATCCACTACTTTAGTTACTTTAATATTTGTGAACATGACTGGATTTACTACACAATGATTTTAAGTAGCTGGAGCACATAGTGGTCATCTATAACAGCTGATGAAGACACTTGTGGAGGAAGAAGAGCACATGACTTTCATTACTAATTCAGCTACTCAGCATTCTTTCATCATAATTTTTGCCTCTGTGGCTACTATTCAAACCAAGATAATAAGCCCACACTCATTTTTATAATCAGGTGTTGGTGAGATTACATCTGGGTTGGTTTTATTTTTTTTTATCTTTATTTATTCAGGGAAAAAAAAGTCAGTTGAGACTAGAAAATGTCTTTTACAAGGATTTCCTGGCCAAGATGAGAAACAGTAGTGTGCAAAAGAGCAAAACAAGCCAATAGAGCAAAAAATGAAAATTACTGTCAATTTTCACAGAATACAACATAAAAAAAGTAATTTCAACATTTAGAACCATTTAAATTCCTGATATTTAAAATGTACACCCTGTTGGTGACTGCAACCTCTGTCAGTTTTTGTTTAAAACCAATACCAATCAATCAATCAATCAATCAATCAATCAATAAACCAATCAATCAATCAATCAATCAATCAATCAAAGATACTTTATTAATCCCAGAGGGAAATTAGAGTTTCAGTACACACAATTCAGAGATCAGACATACATGGGCAAGACACATGACAAGAATTGGTGACTGTGTTCATTCGCAACCCTGAGTCGCGCTACCTTAATAGAGATAAGAGGGTTACATGAGGATTGGTTCAGGTGGAGGGAAAAAAAGGCACTTCAGAGTTACCCTCCCACCAGAGGGCAGGTTTGCTCTGCAAAAAAACACCTCAAACATATATGCAACAGACTTCAGACAACAGAACATAAGTGTCCACTAGGTGGGGTGGTGGGTTGGGACGATCCCTACTTCAGTTCCTGCAGCCACGATGAGCAGCGCATGTCATCTCAGTGTGGATAGGGGGAGGAGCATTGAAAGTTGGAGGGGGTTGCAGTGACCCTGGAACGTTTCAGCGTCCTTCCCGCAGTCCCGCCCAGGCTGGGAAAGGATACAGAGTTGAGTTGCCATAGCGACGGCACATTCCACATATCTTCTGAGGGGGGAGTATTCGTTGGAGCCTTGCAGGCTCAAGGGCGCCAGATTCTGATTAGAAATTGTTTTGGGGCCAGACAGAGATAATTTCCTCTCTGTCTTACAGTTTGTTGGTCCTCAACCTCTCAAAATCCCAATAATGGACATTAATCTATCCCAATCCATGCTGATTCGTCCACTCTCTCCTTGATGGCATCCATCTTTTGTGCCAAAGAATGAATCTCCGCCAAAGTTCCAAGCTTACGATTCATCTCGACAGTTATTTGAGTCTGTGAATTCACAGCGTGGTGCAAACCATCTCTGAGCTACGGGATCAGGCCAATATTCCTCGACAGCTCGTTAATTTTCCGGTAAGCCAGGTAGCCTCCAAGGCCAATGAGCAGGAAACCTGACACCAACACCACAAATATCCACATGTCTTCAGAGTCCTCCACAGACAGCTGAGATAAACAAATCAAGTTCCACTGTTTCCAGGAGTCCATGATGTGTCCAACTGGGTACGTCCCAGCGGGGCATCCGGGGGCCCCTTCTCCCGTTCTCATCGTTGAAAAATTTTTATCAATCGCGTTGAGTGACCAACTGACGAGATCCATTTTAGTGAATTTCAGTTTCCAGAAAAATGCAGAAGCAGCCGTGCACCCAGCACACACAGACAGACAAAGGCCTTGAGGATAAGATATGGAGGAGAGGAGAAAAAAAGCGTCTGCACCCTCCAAGAGCCGGAAGAAGAAAAAGAAAATTCAATTTAGCTAAGGCAGTGGAACGGGTAAATAAAATAAAAGGATAAGACACTCCAGACTTATTCCTTCTTTCCACCGCACATGATAGCATCGCGAAGCGGTCTCGAAATGTACCATGCAACAATTAGCTTCCGTTATAGTGGATGAGTTCTTTTGCATCAACAGCAAAGTGTAACATTTTGGATGTGCCCCAGAAGCAAAGAGAGGCTATCAATACGTTTTGAGTCTATACACTTCCAAAACACATCAAATTCTGCAGTTTAGATCAGGCCAGACAGGAAGTCAAACACAAAAGCAATGTAAAACATCTGGAAACTTAAGTCAGATGCAGGTAAAAGTGAATAATTTCCTGTTAAAAAAAACCCCAAAGCTGATGTAAACACAACAGAAAATAAACCACAGACGTTTTTCTATACATGTAGCTGTCTTTCTCTTTGCTTGTTACTTTGTGTGGACTTCTGAAATCACGCATGGTGTTGCAATTCTCCCGTGATTTTGTGACTTCACTGGATTAGCTGTGTGGAAAGCTTTTGCTCTCGTTTAACGCCTGAAATGCTCCCAGTTGGGAATGAGCTTCCTGGTAAAACACAGTTGTTACGTTAAGCGCTGCTTCCACGTCCAGTGGAAAGACGGGGTTAACCTGAGTGCAGATCAGTCCAGGACCACAGGCCAAAATTGGACAGACTTCACTTTCCTGGCTCACAAAGGGGACCTGAAACTGCAGCCAGCTTAGGTTGTCAAAGTTTTGGAGTGCGTTGAACTTAATCCAAATACATGATGGCCATTTTCCTAGAATGGCTTTGTATGTAAAAATACACCAGTGCCTTATCCTTTGATTCTTATGTGAAGAAAATACAGATGAAGTTTACAACACGCAATAATGTGTCATGAGCATGATATGTCTACAGGTGGCATGGGGTTCAATTTAGCTAAGGTAGTGGAACGGGTAGATCGGTAGAGAGTACCTAAGATAAGTCGCTTACGAGAAGTAATAGAGAAACATGATTTTAATTTTGCATCATGAAGAGCTGTCTGTAAGTTGTGTGCCACTGCTCTTTGGTAGTGTTTGAGTGCCTCTCTGTGGCTAAAACACCTACTGCATAGCCTCATATTAAACCCTATAAGGATGGATAGAAAGAGGTAGACAAACATAAGTGAAAAGATAAAAAAGGGAATAAACAATTATTAAAAAATCATGAGGATTTTTTAAAAATCGCATCAGCATTTCTTTAGGATTCCTCAAGATGTTAAACATTCTTGACATAAAGATGCAGCGCACACACACACACACACACACACACACACACACACACACACACACACACACACACACACACCAAAAAAATAATTATCTAAATTTATAAATTATTTGTCTTTTATTAACAGCTCAATGCTGCAAATAAAGCTACTTTTGGACCTCTTTGCTCATGCATCTTTTTGCATGACCACTAGGTGGTGCCAAGAGCATGTCAAAAAGACTTGGATTATCTGCGGTCCAAATGGGAGCATCTGCATTCACACTTTACAGAATATCTAATCTTTACATTTGTGAATCATTCAGTTAGACGTGATTTTGCATTTTTATTTTAAAGTATTCAATAAGTTATGAATAATCTTCTCCATCAGGTAAGTTTTCAGTTAGAGAAACTCGAAAAGTGTTCTGATTTATAATCTGTTTTTGTATTCTTTGCAAAAACAAAACTAATTCTGATGCATTTACATATGCAATGTATTTGCATAGAGGTCAAAGTGAGTGATTTTCATTTTCAGATGCAACTGGGTTTGATGTGATGAGCGAGTACATAATCAGAATTAATTAGCTTTCAGTTTCTTTTCCAATTAAAGGAATGACACTGGTGGACTATAGGTGAAGCATGATACAGCTGCAGAGCTGTTGCTGTCATTAGAAATCACAACTACATGGATTGATTTTCCAAAACCTTTGCAGCAGCTGGAGAATCAGTGAGCTGCATCATCTCTGTGCTTGTCAGCTTTTTAAAATTTCTCTTTAGTCCAGAATGGAAGGAAAAGGCCAATTTTGTCACAATATGATGGATTTGTATTGTGATGTTACGCATCAGCCATCACTCTCCTTGTTTCCTGTTCCACTCACACCTGCTCCTCATCTGTAATCAACTAACCTGTTTCCATGCAGTCATGAATAAAAGGTTCAGTCTGCTGTCAGACCTTCCTGTGTCTGCATGCATTTCAGTTGGATTACAGCTAGTTTTGCATTGTTTTGCTGCCTGGGTTGCTGCAATTAATTGTAAAGATTTGATGACTGACTGTCCCTTGCATCTGCAATATTTGCTGTTTCATGACATAGGCATTTTTCAGGTCAAAGCGTTCATGCCTTTCAGACATTTTAGTGTATTTTTCTTAATTTGTCTTTATTCCCATCTTTGACTATCATTATTTGGGTGTTTTGGACAAACCATCAAGCTGATAAAATATGATTAGAAGATAAAACTTGACAACCTGTTAATTGTTTTACTTTGAGCATGCAGGAGATTTTAGCAGACTTGCTGGGTGTTGCTCAGTCTGCCGACCAAGGAGGCTTTCCAATTATATGAATTAAAATACTAATTTGGTATAAAGGGCCAAAGTGAATGACTGTAATAGCATTTCCATAGTTTTTGAGGACTATTTCACTTTGCCTTCATCATACAAAAACAGAACAATAGATTATTTTAATATATTTTTAAGATGTAGAGATTTATTTAAAAAAATACACTGAGTGAACTTTAAGGTTTTGTGAGAAAAACCAGCTGCAGATTAAATTTAAAATATTTTTTATTTCAAGAAGACAGAGTTCACGCAAGGACTTAATCAATCTTCAGTTTTAGTTTTGAAAGAAACCTTTGCTAATTGCATTTAGGCTATAAACTGAAAAGATCTTTTGTATTATTTATTAAGTCAAATTCTATTATTCTGTTGCCTTCATATAATTGCCTATAGGTGTGGATTGAATCTGTTAATTGGAGTACAAATCAATTGATGCCTGATAGAAGGCTTTGGCTCCCCTGGATCAGGTTGATAAATGGTTCAGTCCAGAACAGCTCTGCTTGGCTGGGAGCTGCAGACGTTCCGGCTGCAGTTTACCAGAGGAAGGAGAGCAGAGGAGGAGGCAGCTCTGCTCCGACAACGTCATCACCGGGTTTGATTATGGCCATGTACAAAGGCAGGCGTCGTAACCAGAGATGTGAGTATCAGCCGAATCCGGTACCGGGCAGGAGGAGAGGAGAGCTTGTGCTACAAGTGGATCGATGTGTGTTGGAGTTGAAGTTTGAGAGAAAGATGAAAAGTTCATCAACTCAAGTGCGTTTAATTGGCTCTTCTTGCTATGTACTTTAAAATGTTCTGTATCAGTTTGATTTGAAGACAATTTTAAATCAACATTTTATAGCAGGTCTTTTGTTATTTATAATATAAATCCTGCTGGATAAAATGTCCTCATCAACCTTTCTGCCTGCAAGTTCCTGTTGATTACAGCAAACTGTTCCTCAAAATCTGTTTAGAAATGTTTTTACTGATGTCTTTGAGAAAGGCGACTTCAGTGGATGCATGTCAGCTCCAGGTGTGCGTACTGAAGGGCAGTTTTCAGTGGTTTGATGAATAATGTATAATATTAATGAATCTCTCATGCACTGTGATGGACTCTTGACCTGTTCAGATTGTAAACTGCAGTGGATGCTGGGAACTGCTACCAACAGCACAAATCAGGTGCAGGAAAAATAATAAATACATTTTCTTTATTAAGCTCAAAGGTTTGTTTAAATGAGGAAAAGCAATAGATATTCATCCAATTAACGTCTGTCTAAATAATCAGAATCTGTGAATCTGAGAAAGGACAAATTATTATTTTTGCACATGAACTATACATTTGTGAGTATGCTGCTGCAACATGTTAAAAGTGATTTCAAAGTCCAGTGATGTATTTATTGTTTGATTAGTAAGAAAAAAAATGCTAGCTCACATTTTTGCCAGATCACCATGATTTAGCACACAAGGTTAATCTAATAAAAAATGTTATGATCTCTTCTGTTTTTCTGATCATTTAATATTTTGTTTTGGTTTTTATGCCACCAGTTTGTTTGGAGAGGCTTCCTGTATTTGTCTTCCTGCAATTCAATGAGCATCCTCACATCGTTCTGAAACCAAACACATCATGACTCCTATAGTGTCTGCATTTTTTTTTTTCAAGCAAACTCAAATGGTAGAGGGTGATTTTTCAGGTTTGCATCACAGACATTAGTATCATAAATGCAAAATGGCAAACTGCCAATTATTTTAAAAAGTCTTCTTTGCTATTATTACATCAATTTATTGTTACCATCATTTCCATCTTGTCGGTTGGTATAAAAAACATGCAGAAAATTATGTTCTTTCCTAAAAAATAATGAAGTGTTTGGAATCTTTTCAGTAACTTTTAAATGGAACTGTTTTTTGTTGCATATATTTAATTGAACCTTTGTCCAGAGTGTTTGATCTAATTTCCTAATGACTGGTGGATCTGCTTAAATGTTAAACAAATTGATCTCATAGTTTTTTTGTTAAAACAACTGTGTCCTGTGATGTGACACAGGGCCAATGTGTGATTCTGAGGTCTTGCACAGCTGCCTGTTTTTCTAGTCGCCCCATGAATTAAGCAGTTTCATTCTGGAGCAGATGTACAAGTCTAGTTGGAAGCAGGTGGAAGCTGCTGGTTTTTTTTTTTCCCCAGCTGCCAGCAGAGATTAACGAGCATCTGGTCAGGTGGAAGTGAAGGACCAGCTCCGAGTCTTTCACAGCGTTGCACGTAAAAGCCACAACGTTACATCATAAGAAAAAATGCCAAAAATGGAAAGTGCATTAATAGGGATGAAAGACTAAACAAACTTATGTAGCCATGGTAATAGTCTCATTATGATTTCAAGCAAATACATTTTGCATATGGATTGTACGAGAACTTCGTGTTCAGGCTTGCAAGTGGATTTTTTTTAAGGTGCACCCGCTAAAAGCTGCAATAGCGAAATTCTCAGTGGAAACATTTAAAGTGACGATGTGTCTTTTCCCAGGCAATCGGGGGCATAGCTAAATAATTGCAAGCAAGCTGTATTTTTGTGTTAGAGTAAGACCTCACCTATGGATGACCATTAGAGTAAAAAATCCCTGGAGCACAACCTCCAGCAAAATGACAAGCACATCACATTCCCTTTTATCACTGGCAATGGGTGAAGAGGTAAATGTGTAAAATGTTTATGAATGGTGAAGGTTTTGTAACCGCTTGTTACATATCAGTAATTGCATTTTGTCCTCATGGGCTCCCGTAGAAGGAAACATTGCATCTTATAGGACAATGTCCAGAGACTTAACCCTGCTCCCATGTGTTTTAGACCCAATTTTATGTTTATATGTTATGAAGCCGCCAATATATTTCAACAACTGGGAATCATTTAATTTTCAACATTTTGAAGGATGTTTCCAGAGATTTTTGGTCAAAAGTACACATTGTTACTTTAGGCCATTACTCATTTTCTAACCTGTTAAGGATCAGAGAAAACGTTGCTGTTCAAGCCAGAATCCAACAAGATTTAAACCCTGCATTAATAATATGAAATGCAACTGATATGATCTTAGTTTGCAATAAGTTTTGATAGTGTGACCAGTTAATCTGCCTTTTCTGATCTGTTATTGTTTTGGGATAAATATTTAAAGTCTTAGTTTAACACTGGTTACTAAGAACTTGTGGCATGTATAGAAAGGTGTACATTTTTTTCTCTAGAAAAATCAATCACTAAGATTCTGTTCACCTCTCAGGCAGACACAGGAAACGGACTGTGAGCAGTTTCTGATGCTGTTGGGTCTTGCCAAAGTTCACTTTTCCAGAAATGGTACCAAATTTTCAATAGTTCATATTAATGAAAAAATGTAACACAACATTAATGCTTAGCAAAAAATCTACTTCAGGACTATTTCAAAGTGTGCTCCAGTCTAAACATGATAAAGTAGTAACACGCTGTCTGTTTGACAGAACTGATGAGCTGTCAGCAAATCTCAATGCAGGCTGCAATCTATAAAAATGCATCTATCCACCCTATTACACAAAGTTCATGCAAACGTTACTTAAAAAACATAGTTTTTTTGTTATACTTGTTTCTGCGTGAATATATAAAATGTGCTAATATATTCTGAATTTTATGTAAATAAAACAAAATGATGGATATTTGGTTGTACTCTGACTGGCCGTTAGCTCATCAATCACAGTGGAAACACTTCGATGACTGTTCTCAGAAACACCACAGATATTCAGATGTTATAATTATGTTCTGTTTGATTAATCTCAGCTAAGCTTAGTTGTTGTTTTCATGAACTTTATTTTTATTATAAAAAAACGTTACATATTTTGTAATGAACTGTTTGTGGTGTTTAGTTTGTTCACATAAAAAGGTCCCAAAGTTCAGCTTTGTAACTGAGTCTACAAAATGAAAAATGCTAATATTTCATCTCTAAACCTTTTTTGTTCATTCAAGGATTATTCCCCTTACTCCCACGTGAAATACCTTCTGTTTAAAAGGTGCAAATGAAATGTAGATGATTAAAGTTCTGAATTCAGCTGCACTGTCATTGCAACTTCTAAAGGTAACACTTTAATGTAATTTGCACTGAAGGTCATTTAAAAACGTCGGCACAAACAGCAGCAGATAGGACACACTCCGTGCATTGGCTCTTTGAGCCCATCAGTCACACTGCCCTGTTTGAGGAAACACACATTCAGGTGTAATAAAAGGGGCCTGTGCCCTTCAGCCGAGATGGGAGATTATTCAAGTCTCGTCTGTCGATTTACAGGCAGCGGAAACAGACTGTAGATGAAATCAGTCGATTGGTGTCATGCAGGATGTCTCTCCAATGCACATTTGTATTCATGCAGGTACCTGGATCATCTCTTAATCAAACACAGCTCAGCCGGCTCTCAGGATGCATATCATCACTTCGACTGAGTTTGCTCTGTGCTAGGAACAAGCCTTTTCCTGACAAAAGACTGTGTTAGACAATAGCAGTGGGAGGAAATATCTTCCATTTTGTTTCTCAGGGAATATTACCAAAGCTCCTTATCTGTTGTAATTTTTTCTGAAGTGATTGCGCTGTTGCATCACACCGTCTGCACCGTAGACACAGGAAAGTGAGGAAAGACCTAGTTTCTGAGAAAAGTCTGATGAAATGGAGCTCATGTGGAAAATTGCTGTTGGACCAAAGTTGAGCTCATGCTCAATAGAAACTCCAAGCATTTATGGTAGTTTAATTTTTGTTTTCTTTTTCTGCAAGCTCATCCAAAAGAACGAATGTATATTGAATATTTTACGCCTGCCCTCCTGGCTAATCTGTAATGATTACAACATACAACATTGTAGTGTTCTCACAGCTTTATTAACTGAGTTATTGAGCTGATCATCTGAGACAAGATTGAAAACTTGTTGGATAAAAATAAATTGTAACACAATTGTTTTCCAGGTGAGGCACCATGATATGCTAGTCATAAAGAATGATGGTAGCTGAGCTGCCAAAACACACCATGAGTCACAAATAACATTGTTGTCAATGCAATAATCAAGAATAAAATCCCAATTTCCTGTTTATTTAATGTTGTGCAGAACTAGATCAGACAATGGAAGTTTGATGCATTTGTGACATCATGAAAAACAGCTCTTTTGATCGCCACAAACCAGAGCATTACACCATCACTTGTAATTAAGAGACTGGGATTACTAACAATGAACTTTTATTGTTGGCATTAAATGCAAACATGCTTTTATTTTGACAGGCCTTCCATTTCACGCTCACTTCCTCTGCTTCTACTACACTCACGTGTGTCTTGTGGTAGAAAGATACAAGAATGAGGCCAAACACACCAGTGGCGTTAGATTAAAGTAAAACAATTTAATTTCCTTTAATTTTTTTTATGTGACTCACCCTGAAGGCTCCCAGACATTTTAGTGTCCAGATTGTTTTCCATGCAGTTCTAATTCTAAAACTTAACATGGCCAGGCCCGCCCAGGCACCTGGGCTTCCTAAGCAGGTCTACTCTTCTTTGGTTTATGTGACTGATCAAAGAAAGTTCAAATTAGTTTGTATCTGCATATGTTTTAAATTAGGCCCGTGCATTATTCAGATAGATAAAGTAATCTTGGCTTCAGATTTCCTACTTTGGTATGTTTTAATCTCCAATAAACAGCATAACTAATGCATAATATAATGGCATTTTTAGTCTCCTTAAAATGTGAACTCTGAACAGCTCCTATTTGTCCTACATAATTATGGCTTAAATCCCCCCCCCCCCCCCCCCCCCCCCAAAAAAAGCTGTGTTTATGATTATACTTCATACGCGATCAGCCCTACTAGTGGCTAGATGTGACTTTCTAGTACTTTTGAGTTTGCACGTTCCTCTGCAGTCCGATCGCTCATTATGACTGAAACATCATGTAGTAATTTGTAATATTTACCCCTCAATGTGGTTCGGCTAAAAGTATCCACCAGACATCGAGTGGCTATTGCTTAGCAACACCTCTCCTCTCCATCCAGATTAAACTTTTTACAGTTACACACACACACACACACACACACACACACACACACACACACAAATTGTTGTATCTGCAAGTGCACACAACACATTCATGCCACTTTGTATATGGTTAGAATAATGCCTGTAATTAATCAGAGGGTGTGTGTGTGTGTGTGTGTGTGTGTGTGTGTGTGTGTGTGTGTGTGTGTGTGTGTGTGTGTGTGTGTGTGTGTGTGTGTGTGTGTGTGTGTGTGTGTGTGTGTTGGGGTACAGAGTGACTTTAATGCACCACTCATTCTTCAATGACCCAAGCAGGGGACCAGAGGAGAGTGGGCTTTACTATGTGAAGCATGTCTTCCTGTGTCCTAATGATAATTTCCCAACTGCGTGGTGCACCTGAGAGCAACGGCACGTTCCCACTCCATTTGTCCATTAGGGATGGGAAGAGGGGAATCTAAAGAATAGGAGAGGATGAGAAAGCCCGCGTGTTTCTGAAGATCCGAATGCAGCAGCTGGTGTTAATGCAGCTCTGAGATAAAGGACTTTCCAGAGGAAATGTAGATGCTAAGATCTTTTGCATTTCTTAATTTAAACCCATTAACACTGTAGCTCAGGACTTTATTATATCCACTTCCCGTGGAAGAAAAACAAGAATAAAACTGCAGCTGCAACACTTCAGCTCCCATTATGACAGCTGACAGCATGATCCCCAAAGCTGGTGTTATATCTGAGCAACTCAAAGGTGTCTCATCCATGAGTGAGCCCTTGTGAGTTATATGTCTGAGTGTGTGTTTGAATTTTGTTTTGTCTTTGTGTGACCTTGAGCAGCACTCAGGGATCATTGAGCTGGTTTGGAGCAGAGGCGGTGACAGACTAAATGCAGCGATACAAGTCGGGTTTAACGCAGCACAATACTTGGCAGGCTGAGAGGAGTGTCAGTCATGATGGGAGCCGTGAGGAGCGTGCTAATCAGTCACAGCAGTCTGATAATGCACTTAGCTCGATGTTGTTTTTACAGCTTTGTTTTCAGTGTCCTTACACTGACTTTGAAACTTTTTTCTTGCATAATCAGTATCTTATTTGTCATTGTCTTGAAAATGCAAAGTTGACCCTGACTGAGCGCTGCAGTGGACTGCTGTGAAGCTATTGTGTGAAGTATGATTTTATACCTTATTTTCCAGAGAAGTCAGCAAAACGTCAACAGTTTTTCATTGAAAAATCTGCTTTCTTCTCTCATGCCTAAATCAGCCATGGGTTTATGTAAAAACATATCTTGAAAGTGTGTGTCAAAAGGTCAAAAGACAGAATTAAGATGGAACTGCTTTAAAATGAAAATAAGAATATGCAAGTAGAAACCGTCAGTATAGGAGCCATGTCCAGATTTGTATCCTCTGAACTTTTAAAGATATTGACTCTGAGTTTGTCTACAGATATCAACATGGCAGGAGAACCCAAACCATACAGGCCAAAGATGGGCTCCAAGAGACCTCTCTCGTCTCTGTACAGGTCTGCATCAGAAGTTTATTTTACTCTCAGTCTCGTCTTTCCATTCGTCATATCAGTGAATTTAAAATGAGAGGACCGCTTTGGAGCTTCTGCCTTGCTGTTGAACATCACCTCTCTGTTTCAGAGTTGAAAATAAAAGACAAATGCAACAAATAAATGTATAAATGAACTTTTTAATAATTTGAAATCATTGCTTTAAAATCTGTACTTTTCTTTGTTGAAGGACGATGAATCAGGTTAGCTTGGTGACTCATTATTACATTGGAAGAGTTCAGATCCTTTCTCTGGGAAAAGAAAAGAAAAAATGCACACTAATTTTTAAATGATTACACTAAGAACCTGTAAACTAAAATAAATAGTAATTTTTGGGAAGTTTTGTCTGACAACTTCAAGTAAAAACAAAGAAAAAACCAACGTTCTGAGTTTTAGAGTTAGATTGGGATTTTTTTAAACTTCAGATGAATTTAAAAATCCTTGATTCTTACAAAAAAACATCTTTTTAACGTTGAAAGTGCCACATAGACTAGTTTTTGTGGTGATTTTCGAGCTTTACTCTCCAGATTCATTCCATCACCATCATCACCATCATCATACGCTTTTCACCACTTCCCAAATTTCTGCTATGATGTGCCGAAAATGTAATTCATGCTTTTAATGAAGTTATTTTCCAATTAAACTTGCTGTGATTATAAAGTTAACTGAAGAGGGACTCATAAACATCTAGGCTTTTTCAGCACAAGCCTTTAAAAGAGTGAAACATTCATAGTAGATTAAAAAGTCCTTCATGTACATTTATTACTTTTTACAGATTTCTTCTATTTTCCCTTTCTTTTTTTTTGCTACACAATCATCCTTAAAACATTTTTTTTAATTATTATTCATCATTATTTCTGATTTATAATTGGTCACTCTGAGTTTTTCAGGCTGAACATGATGATGGTCTCCTACACCTATGTCCTGCATTAGCTTCTGATAAAAAAAATAGACGGTAAAATTCTAGGATTTGAAAAGCCTGACAGATCTACATTGGTTTAGCTTCCAGGAAACCTCAGAGAACATCTTGACTAGTAGAAGCTAACCATTAGCATTAGCAGCTCTACCACACAACAGAACTCCTCCAGGCTTGTTATTTGTGGAGATAAAACATCCATGCTTCAAGTCAGTGGCAGAGTTGTGTTGCTGTTATCCAATCCAGCAAATAAGACTCCAAATCTCCCTGTCTGAAGCGGGAACCTGACTGACTTGGACATCATCAATGCAATTTTTGGTAAATGAGAGGAGAGACTTTGTGTTTTTATTATTTATTTATATGTTTTGCTTAGCAACGACTTTTATCTTGGAAATTTCACATGGAGGCAATATTTGCTCTTTCTTTAGATTTATTTCCGGGCTCAATTGTTTTTGAATTTCTTTAGAACAGGGCATGGTATGCTGCTTTTTCAAGTCTTTTAGCCTAATTTATGATGCCGGACAGGTTCTGTTGAAGATGTATTACCTCTGAAGATCTGACAGTAATCAGGGATGGATGTTAAGACGTTAATCTTTACAATCAATGTGTTTAGTCAGTTGATTTGTGTTTTAAAATGAAGGGCAATTGGTTTTCTGCATAGGGCCAGGTTTTTGTTGGAAAACTTAAAATAAATGAAATAATAATCAAATATTGCATTTTCCATTTACCCAGGGTATCTGTCTGATTTTGAATTTAGTTTGTTGATCTTAAACATTTAAGAACGACAAAAAAGCAAAAACTAACGAAATCTGAAAAATACTTTTTTTTAAATAACCATGTAAATAAATACTCTGTTTTACTGCATAGACATAAAAATCGGCGCTTTCTACTAGTCCAAATGTCACTTTCATAAGTTCCTGTGAAAACATTACAAAGCCAAAATGTCTATTATGTTTAATTTTTCCTATTTTATTCAACTTTATTAAAATATTCCTGTTTTGTGCCTCACAGCGGATACGAGTTTGACTATGATTACTACAGGGATGATTTCTACAGCAGGTATGTGTTTCTTTCCTTTTTACTCATTTTTATTTATATTTTTTGTTATTTAGCGCACAAATCATTTTTCCTCACTCCTGCTCTTGGATAGAAATGATATATAATCAGACTTTCCATTTCTCTCCTCTGAAGTAAAATGACTACATCATAACAAACATAATGAGTTCAGTATTGAGAAGGTTTATTTCTCTCTGTTGGCCTTGCTAATGATGCTTTTATCCGCTGAATGTCAGACCATCCCCTGGTTGGTCATTTGTGCCAGCGATGGAGGGAATGCATCCTCATTCTGACATTTTCATTGGTTTGTTTACTTCCTCTGCTTTTTAATATCCAGGAGAGTTGAAACCTTTAGCTTTGGGTCATTAATGCTGTTTGGGCAATTTGACACGCCTCAAAGAGCCGAAGCAGGATTTTACTGCTGAAGACAGATACATAGGTCATCAAATGTTACCTTAGGCTCAATATAACATGCTGGAAAAAACTCGTCCTGCTCACGGTCACATCACCACCCTTTAAAAAAAACAAAGCCATTAGGAACCTTTCTTTGTCTCTTATTTGTTTGCCTTCAGACTCTTCGAGTACCACGGCCGTGTGGTTCCCCCGACCCGAGCTGTGATCCCCATCAAACGCTCACGGCTCGTTGTCCCATCCACTCGCAGAGCCAAATCCTCCTTTCCAATCAGAACCTGTTCTTCTTCCTCCTCTTCCTCCTCTTCATCCTCCAGAGCAATCATCGGCTCCTCCATCACCGGTCACAAGCGTATGTTTTCTTTCTTCTAAAATCACATTTTGGCTTTTTGTCACTTAAAAAAACATCATAATAATCTGTATTTTTGCTTTTCTGAGCCCACATAATGTCAGCTAAAAAGTCACGACTCACTTTCTAAACCATCTTCATGTCTGACAGCAAAAGATTTCAAATAGCTTGTCATCAACTGATTTTCCTGTCACCCCAGAGGTGTGACTCACTTGCTTCACATTATTCATAGATTCCCATTTCTTGGATCAACGTAAACAAAACATTGCAGGACAAAAATGACGTTTTTTTTAAGCTGAAGTGTTTGGTGAGCAAAGACTTAATTTTTATAAAAGAAAAAACAATTATTCAGGCTGAGTAATCAGCGCAGGTCTGTTGACAGGTGTGAAAGGAGGTCAGAGAAACCGTAAAAGTAGCTGATTTAGTTCTTATGTAAGATGTAATGAAATAAACTATAATTATGCTTTATTTGTTTTCTCTAAGCATAAATGAGCTCAGAGACATAAACTGCTTGATTTGGACCAACTAAGAGTTTATTTTATAGCCTGCTGTAGTTTTCCCCCATTTTGTTTGAAGCATATTCCCCAAAAAACAAGATTTTACAAAGATAATTTAAGTAATGCATTTGGTTAAAGGTGTGGTTCACTGAAAACCCATTTTTAATCATTGTTCCTGATTAAAATAGGTCACTCTGAGCTTTTCATGCACACTGAACATGAAAATAGTCTCCTACACCTAGCTCTTGCATTAGCTTCTGATAGAAAATAGATGGTGAAACTCTAGGTTTTAAAAAGTCTGACAGATGACACTGTCACTTAACATTCATGGACTTGCCTATCTTGACTCGTGATGCTTATGTTGTTGGTTTAACATCTAGGAAACAGCAGAGAACTTCTCGGCTAGTAGAAACTCACCATTAGCATTAGCAACTCCACCACACAGCAGAACTCCTTCAGACTTGTGTTCTTTGTGGAGATAAAACATCAGTGTTGCAAAGTAAATGGTCAGTGGTAAGTTTGTGTTTCTTTTAGCCAATCAGAGGCGAGATGTCCAAATATCAGGAAGTAAGACACCAAATCCTATCTGAAGCTCTCCTCTGATCTGGAAATCTTCTAGTTTCTGAAACAGGTGCACCAGGGCTTATTGTACCCCGAGTACGACTTATAAGGCATTCATTCCCACAAAAGACCAATACAAATCTATTGAATAACCGAGAGAACCAAACCTTTGATTTTCCCAACAGAGTACATCTGCAGATGTTAAAGTCTGTAAAAATTTGTACTAATTAATTGCAGTTATTTCTGTTTAAACTTTAACAATGTTCAGCTCCTTTTCAGGGTTGAAAACAAAAACCCAACCGTGACAAGATGCTTATAGGTTCCCCAGTTTACTCGTCATATAAATGTTGAACAATTTACTCGGTGAGGTGTAAAAAGAATGTTTTTCTTGCCGTGTTGATGGTAATTATCACCTGACTTCTTTTCTTCTTATAGCATTTGAACACCTTTTGTCAGCTGCCTGAACATAAAATGACAGAAAGACAAAATAAGCAACTAGCTTGAGAACTGATGGTCTCTGTTTTGTTTATTGGATGCTTCTGTGTCATTAAATGATATTTTATTCAGGTTCTCATCAGTGGGAAAAGCCTTTTGGTGAAGAAAAATGAACCGGTGTTGTTAAACCTACGTAGAGTATGATGACATATTTTTAACTCAATAAACCAACGGTGTCTCGGTCACATGTAGCAGCAAAACTATGGTGCTGCTGCATCACATTTTTTCATGCTTTTGAATGTGATTATCTTTATTCTCACAGTGAAGACAGACCAGCTCCTAACAATCAAGAAGGAGCTTTCGCAGATCAAGACAAAGATTGACTCGCTGCTCGGGAGGTTGGAGAAGATCGAAAGGCAACATCGCTCTGATGCCGGTGAGACGTGGCAGGGGGGGGAACCTGTCTGCTGGAGCAGAAGCCATGAATATATTTACCATGTGCACTTGGAGAAGAAACCTTGATTGCATGTTATTAAAAATGAGATAAAAATCACATCATATCAAATTAAAGCAGATTTTAAATAGTACAGAAATAAATTGTGTTCTGCTGTCAACTGAAATCTGTCTGTATTTTACTTTTACCAGAGCTGCAGAGGAAACAGGAGGAAATGTGTGAGCGTTTCCATGGTGATGCAGAGGACCACTCTGGAGGAGAGGAGGTGGGAGGGACAACCGAGGTGGAGGCAGGCGAGATGACTGACGGTGGTGAAGATGACTTTGAAGATGAAGGCACCAGTGACATGGTGAGCAGGTCGAGGTGACCATGTGCAGAGCGAGCAACGCCGACTTTTTTCCAGCCCTTCTGATGTGTAAATTTGTGTAAATGGCTTGTTCAAGAGCCTCCATAGATTTCCCTAAAACAGCTCTGATTTCCTTAAACTTGTGGTAATTTTGCATAGCATGGGTGTTCTTGCTACCCCTGGATGCATCAAAACTGCTACACTTACTTTGTAAATATGAATCAAATATGAAAATCTGGTAACTGCAGCTCATTTAAGACACGTTGGTCCGAGTTCTGCTCTGAAAGTATTATTTTTATGACTTTAAAACAGAAACCATTAAAAATGATAGAATAATGTTAATTCTTGTAAAATATATGAAAACTATGCAGCTAATTAGTTGAAATCATGTTTTAGAATCTAAAAAAACCAACTGATTTCTTTGAGGAGATAAATAAATCATTAAGCTGACATTTACTCGGATTCAAATAAAAGGTTGAAAAGGCAAACAAAGAAAAAACTGTGAGAAATTACTTTATTTTTCCTGAGAAACTGATTATTTATTTATATATACATGTCTTTCAAATAATCAGTAGTTCTGCTAATGTAAACGAGAACTTTTGTCTTGAGATGGTTACAAGTGTAAATGATTTGTTTGTAGATAATGTGATCAGACAGGTGATGACTGGAAGCAACGAGTGGGAAAAGTATATTTAGTCGGAACAAATCAAAAGCTTCAGTTTTTCCCAATTGTAGAATTTGTATGTGAATTAATATAAGATTAAACGGTTTTGTTCGTGGTTTTGACCTTAAGCCCACCTTGAAGTTAAGATCTGCTTGTAATAATGACACAAAAACATGTAAATGAAAGTCTTTTCTAGTGTTCCTGTTGCTGTTTGACGTCCATGATGCATCCTCTATAGCTTCAGTCAGCTTTATTATATATTTTGTTGGATTGTGTTGCAGATAGAAAACCACATATCAGACATTGACAACTGAGGATGGTGAGTATTTAAAGATGTGGATCACTGAAGTGATTATTTCTGATTATAATCAAGTCACTCTGAGTTTTTCATGCAGGTTGAACATGGGAATAGTCTCCTACATCTATCTCAGGCATTAGCTTCTGATAGAAAATAGATGTTGAAACTCTAGGATTTAAAAAAGCCTTACAGATCTACGTCACACTGTCACTTAACATCCATGAACTCACCCATCTTTGCTGTTGTTGGTTTAGCGTCCAGGAAATGGCAGATAAATTTCTCGGCTAGTAGAAGATAACCGTTAGTATTAGCAACTACACCACACAACAGAACTCCTGGCGAGATGACTGATGGTGGTGACCATAAGCTTGTGTTATTTGTAGAGATGAAACATCAACGTTGCAGAGCTAACAGATTCGTTGATAGAATTGCATTGCTATTAGCCAATCAGAGAAGAGATGTCCAAATATCATGCCATGTTCTGCCTCTTTGCTCCTGCCGACTCCTCCTCGCTGATCCAGGCGCTTCTGGGCTCCCCCCTCCCTGAGTATGACTTACAAGGCATTCATTCCTACTAGAGACCACTGCAAATGTATTGATTAAAATAATTTTCAACACCTTTAATCTCTTTAATGTAAGCATAATTGCTCTGTAGAGAAACGGGCTGAGAAGCTCAGCACTGATCCAAACTACTGGAGACCCACAGTTTCCATTTTTACAGAGAGACGGAGAGAAACAGCTCATGTCTCTGCAGTTTAATCCACTTCACTGTTTTTCTAAATGACCTGTCATTCTGTCTCTGTGGGGACAAAAAGTAAAGGCAGCTCTTCTGCAGCGGCGATCACTGATGACTGTCAGAGCAGCTGCAGACTCAGGACCTTGTATCATCCCCATGTCTCTTCAAGTGACATTTAAATCTCCACTGATTTTCTTTATAAGAACAAATGAATGTACGATTTAACTTAACTGTTGGCTGGCATTTCCTCTCCGCTGTCCTCAAGTGCCTTTGTGAACAAAAACCTTTCTTAGGAAAAGATTCAGAGCTTTTAGAAACTGATAGAATAGAAGATCAGAATGATTTGGAACTAATTTTCATCATGTGGTAGAAGATATTTCCCCATAAACACTTAAAAGTGCAAGCAGCCTTCATGTGTCTGTTTATTGTGGCATAAGTGATTACATTTCACTACAGTTTGATTTTAATTTTCTTGTTTTTAAGGTTGAGTGGAGAAATGAAGAAAAATAAATTGTGACAGCGGATACCAGCAACACCTTCTTGAACAAGGAGGTTTGTTTAAATGAAAGGAAACAACCAGGGAAGTGACTGGCAGTAGCAGAAGAGGTTTTGTAGCTTGTTGGCCTCATCGAAACATGACTCTCTTGATGCGTTCTTCATCAAAATCAAATGCTGGGTTTAAAAATCCAGACTTCTGCAAGATCAGCTTCAAAGAGCAATGAAAAATCTGAATGGTTGCTTCTCTGAAAAATGGGGACAAAACAGTATATTGTGTGCTTAATATTTATATAATGGTCTCTATTGTACACACACACACACACACACACACACACACACACACACACAGATATATATATATATATATATATATATATATATATATATATATATATATATATATATATATATATACATACATACATACATACATACATACATACATACAGTTATAAGAAAAGAAAAGGTTTCTTTTGTTCTCATTTGCTTTTGTTTTTGTGGATTAAAAACTGACAAACCACATTTCAGGGAGTGAGTTAAATATGAATGTAAAAAAGAACTTGTGTTTTCTGCAGCTGATTATGATGTTATTTATTTTATTCTTCACTGTATTGTTTAGCTGCAGTGTCTGCTCTCTGTATTGTACGCATTTCATGTTTGTCATCTGTTTTTCACAGTAAGCATTTAAATTCTTATGTTTATGGTGATACAAAAGGTCACATTTTTTCTCCTGGCATGTTAATATGTGAATATAATGGATTTGATTTGTTTCTATCTGTTAAACAGCCATGGGTGTTAAGAGTTTTTGACATAAACTGACACCGTCTTAAAAAATGTGAGTATTGCAGTTTTTATTGTCTTAAAACAAGATTTCCAGTGATTTATTTTTCCTTTTTTTTCACAATTTAACATATTTGAGACACATCTTGACATCAAGTGTTGAAGATATATCTGCTCTATTTGTATGAAATACCAATGAAAGGATGGGGTGGAGTTGCCATGTGTGGATAAAAACTTTGACTTTACAGTTTTGGACAGTATGTCTGGAGTTGTAGTTAAAATGCTTGAAGATATAACAATTTAATTTTGCAACAAAAGCAATAAACCTGCAATCATTACTTGTATGTATCGGACACCAGCACTTGGACCAGCTCTTATGAGAGAATCCTAAGGCGTTCCCTGGCCAGGTGGGAGACGTAGTCCCTCCAGCGTGACCTGGGTCTCCCTTGAGGTCTCCTTCTGTTTGGATGTACCAGGGAGGCATCCAGGAGGCATCCTAACTAGATGCCCGAGCCACCTCAACTGGCTCCCCTCAATGTGGAGGAGCAGGGGATCTACTCCAAGCCCTTCCCTCATGACCGAGCTTCTCGCCCTATCTGTAAGCGAGAGCCCAGCCACCCTGCGGAGAAAACTAATTTTGTCCGCTTGTACCTGCAACCTCATTTCAACCACTACCCAAAGCTTGTGACCATAGGTGAGGGTAGGAACGTAGATTGACCGGTATATCGAGAGCTATCCGGTTCAGCGCTCTCTTCACCACAATAGACAGGTACAACGCCCGCATCACTGCAGATGCAGCACCAATCTGCCTATATGATCGCTTATCGTGAAGAAGACCCCGAGATAGAGTTAAGTATCTTGGGGTCTTTTTCACAAGCGCAGGAAAGAAGGAGCGCTAGATCGATTGGCAGATTGGTGTTTTCAAAAGTCCATAGCTGTCCAAATAAATCACTATTTATATTTATGATGTGGGGTTGCTGCAGCTGGTCAGGTCTAGATTCAACGACATTAAGTTCCCAGAGAATGAAGTCAGATGACTACTTACCAGGTTAATCCATGAATGGGTTGTTTCTTCTCTGATGGCACGGGCATATTCCAAGAAGACAAAGGCTGGATTAAAAGGACTCGAATAACAAAAGAGCTCAATGAGCCTGAGCCATTATTTGCACGCATGGATTGACCACCGCAAAGTCAGAATTTGTACATTGGATTCTCCCATCATCAATACAACATCTAGTAAAAAGTTAATGCAATGCTGGATGAAAATCAACCTTGTGACCCTGCAGAAGCAATGTGGCATTGTTGAAACTATTCTACAGTGAATGTGAGCCATAATCAAAGCTAAAGGTGGTCCAACAAATGTTCTATAGTGTTTAACTACTTTTATGACGCCAATTATTTTGGTGGGCAGCTGTGCACTTACAACTCTGAATTAAATAAGGCGAGACAAGCCCTTTTCTCCAAAGTAATTGTTGATAATATCAACAATTCCTGTGTTCTGTTTGCTACTATTGAGAGGTTAACTAATCTCCCAACACAGCTAAACCCTGATTTCATATCCCAAATTAAGTCTAATGAGTTTGCATCATTTTTCAATGAGAAAATAATAAACATCAGATCAGCCATTTATTACTCCATGTCCACCAACACAACCAGACCACAGCTACAGCCACACGACAACTCTCTGACTTGAATGCCAGCTTTCAGTGTGATTAGTGCTAAAACACTAGAGGACATGGTTAAGACCTTAAGCTCATCTGCTCAACTACTTGCTTTCTGGACAACCAACTAACTTCTTCAAAAATGTTTTTAGCTGCTTAAAAGCTGATGTACTGAAAATTGTTTACCATTCCCTAATATCAGGGATTTTTCCCAAATCACTGAAAACTGCTGTGCCTCTTCTGAAGAAAAGGAAATTAAACCCCTTAGTGATGAACGACTACCAACCAATCTCTAATCTCCCCTTCATTGGGAAAATTCTTTGTTTTTTCTCTATGTCTGGTCTGGACCAGGCCCCCGCAGTTCTGGGATGAAAATGAAGCCAACAAGGAAGTTGCAATTATTTCAACAATTCACCCCCGTCTTCATTCCTCTGAAGCCAATTTGAGCAATAACCTCCATCCTATTCTTCTTATTTCTAAAGACAACAACTTCAGTCTTGTCTCTGTTTAACTGGAGGAAGTTTGACTGCACCTAGTCATTAACTTGCTCCAAACAATGACAGCGTGAGTTTAGGGGACCACAGTCACTAGGTGGTAGAGCTAGGTAGATCTGAGTGTCATCAGCGTAACTAAGATAAGCAATATTGTTGTTGTGCATGACCTGACCCAGGGGGAGCATATTTGAAGAGCAGTGGTCCAAGAATTGAGCCTTGGGGGACCCCACATTTCATAGTAAACTACAGAATTGATTTCAAAGTACTTCTACTAGTTTATAAATCACTCAGTGGCATGGGGCCAGTATACATGTCAGATCTCCTTCAGGTATATATGCCCAGCAGGGCTCTGAGATCCTTAGGAAACAGTCAGCTGGTAGAACCTCAGGTCAGAACCAAACAGGGTGAAGCTGCTTTTAGCTACTATGCTGCACACTGATGGAATCAGCTTCCTCATGACCTGAAATGTGTCCCAACTCTAGAAACTTTTCAATCAAATTTGAAAACCTTCATGTTTTATTCAGCCTTTGAATGCTGCAAATTCTGCACTGTATTTGCTCACTATTTAACTTAGACTTTGTTACTTTTTAATTTTTAAATAGTATTTTCTGTCACGTAGATTTTAATGCTCTTGCTATTCTTACTAATGAAAAGCACATTGAATTGCCTCTGTGTATGAAATGAGCTATAAATTAAGCTGCCTTACGTTGCCTTGCTCAAAATCAGTGAAACTCATAAGAATAGCCGGAAGCATTTATTTAAGCTTCGCTCTCATAGTATGGACTCAGTAGTTCATACTTTTACTTACAGTAGGTGTCTTTAAAACTACTAAACATGTCCACCTAAAATATAAAACACAGCCGCTGCCTTCCCTTAATCCCTCTGCTTTCAAACTGCAGCAGTAAAACATTACAAAACACTAAAAATGAATCTGCCATGGTTTAATAAATACAAACTAAATGTGTGAACTTGTAGGGATCTACAGCTCTGTGCTAACAAGGACTATGTTTTTTAAAGCCTTTTATCAGCTCAATGCAGGCATTTTTAACAGAGTGGTGTTTGAGGGTGAACTTCTGCAGAGAGGAAAAATAGAGAAAAATTATTACATGCATTTAAAAATTGACATCAATATGAGGCTACATCTAAGTTATTCAGTAGTTGATATCGTAATAGGACTGAAATGTGAAAGAAACAACAAATAATGTTAAATATAAAATTAAAACACTAAAGATTAATGCGTTCAGATTCACATTGGCTCTACGAAAATAAACCTTTTCTCCTTTTTTTAAATCTGGTGTCCTTGAAAATGAGACATGGTGGCCTGGCATTTCTAATTCAGTCACTTTGTTAGCACCAGATCATCATTTTTACAGGTTAAGGAGGGCCACTGGCTGGTTTGCGGGTATATTTAGTTCTATCACAGCTGGCCAGCAGCCAGTGACTACAGTCATCCGTCATGCAGCTCCCATTATATGGACAATGCTCTGCTATGATGAGCTGAATCCATCACTGGCACGTGGAACTGCTGGAAACGTATGAGAATATTGGGGGTCAGGATATTTTTAATCAGCTGTGATTAACCAAAGGCTCGTGCAAAAGATGTAAAGCTCACAGTGAGCATCACTTCAAAGATCTGAGGTGAGCACAGAGCCAAAGTCCTGGGGCCTCATTTATCAAGCTTGCTTACGCACAAAACGGGGTCGGAAAACTGCGTAAGCAACTTTCCATGCGAACTTTGGGATTTATGAAAGAAAACTTAGCGGAAAAATGTGCGCAACTGTATACTGTTGATCTAAAGTGGAATTACCCTGTGGAAACAGCAATTTTCCATTTTAGAGCATTTTGAAATCACTGAAAGTTTTGTCGTATATGGGCAATTTAAAAAGGCCTTTATTTTGGAAGGCAACATCAGAATAACTTGATATTGATATAGTATCACTGTGGGGTTGTATACTGTTGATCTAATGTGGAATTAACCTGTGAAAACAGCAATTTGCTATTTTAGAGCATTTTGAAATCGTTAAAGGTAGGTCAATTGTGGACAATTTAAAAAGGCCTTTATTTTGGAAGGCAACATCAGAATGACTTGATATTGATATGGTATCACTGTGGGGTTGTATACTGTTGATCTAAAGTGGAATTACCCTGTGGAAACAGCAACTTTCCATTTTAGAGAATTTGGAAATCACTGAAAGTTTTTTCAAAGTTTTTTGTTAATAATTTCACCATTTCACCATCGGATCGCTTATAAAGTAATAGCACACCTCCCACGGCCGAGCCGTTCGTTTTGATGTATAATTTGTGGGGATGCACGCTGCCGTTGGAGCCGCATTAAGGTCCATAGAAGAAAAATAAAGGACATTAATGTTGAAAACTCCCCAGGTGCATAACAGCAAGGACCCTGCTTGCTGCTGCTGCAGCAGGTTCCTTAATAAATAAACTGATTAACTAAAATGAAATCAATTTTAAGTGGCATGGGGCCAGAATACACGTCAGATCTCCTTCGGGTGCACACACCCAGCAGGGCTCTGAGGTCTGCACACAGGGAATCAGCTTTCTCATGACCTCAAAGGTGCCCCAACTCTAGAAACCTTTAAATCAAAATTGAAAACCTTCATGTTTTCCTCAGCTTTTGAATATGTTCTTATGCTGCACCTTCTACACTGTATTTGCTTGTATTTCTTTTTAATCTTTAAACTGTATTTTCTGTCACGTTGATTTTAATGTTCTTGCTCGAGGAAAGCAAATTAAATTGCCTCTGTGTGTGAAATGTGCTATATAAATAAAGCTGCCTTTCCTTGCCTTGCTAATATTAGTTTAAATTAAAAGAGCCTAAAAGAAATTTATGGTTTCTAGGGTTTTTAGAATTTTTGTTTAAAAGGATTTCAAAATAAAAGCATTCTTTGGTATGATTTCAGCTTCATTTTATTTGGAAAGGACACATTCTATTCAAATTGGCTCTATTGTCCCTTTGTGACATCATCATTCCATATAGGTCTGAGCACAGCAGTTGCAGCCAGTCAGCGGTCCTGTCAACACCTCTAAAGGAGCTAATCGATTTTCATACAATTTCACAGAACTGTAACAAAGACACAATGCATTCAGTGCCAACAACCTCTGTTGGGAAAAAAAACAGCTATTACTACACTGACAGAAAAATTCAAAGGAATTTCAATCAAAATCCCAGACCAAGTATGATGAACTATTCTGGTAGTCAAGGTGTCAGATTTACACCACAGCATAGACCATATCATAATGAGGAACAATTTTATTACAACGGAAATCACTGTCCTCCACAAAATATGAACCACGATTCAATTAATCATTGGAAGATGGAAAACGTTCGTTCTGGGCCTCACCCTGGCCCATGGCGTGAGTACAACAGAGTCCAGCCATGGCAGGGACCATATCATAATGAGGAACAATTTTATTACAACGGAAATCACTGTCCTCCACAAAATATGAACCACAATTCAATTAATCATTGGAAGATGGAAAACGTTCGTTCTGGGCCTCACTCTGGCCCATGGTGTGAGTACAACAGAGTCCAGCCATGGCAGGGATCATATCATAATGAGGAACGATTTTATTACAACGGAAATCACTGTCCTCCACATAATATGAACCACAATTCAATTAATCATTGGAAGATGGAAAACGTTCGTTCTGGGCCTCACTCTTGCCCATGGCGTGAGTACAACAGAGTCCAGCCATGGCAGGGATCATATCATAATGAGGAACGATTTTATTACAACGGAAATCACTGTCCTCCACATAATATGAACCACGATTCAATTCATCATTGGAAGATGGAAAACGTTCGTTCTGGGCCTCACCCTGGCCCATGGCGTGAGTACAACAGAGTCCAGCCATGGCAGGGACCATATCATCACAGATCCCCTCAGAAACAAATATACGCAGGTCCAAGGGATCCTAACTGGCAGCCATTACCTCACCCAAATCATCATGAAATGAGGGTAAATCCTAACAGAATTCAACATTTTGGTCCCCAAAACTTTCCTCAGAGACCGCCTTTGGCACAAAACCATAGGTATCTGAGGAATCATAATTCACAGCCATTGCCCCTTAAAAATTATCACAAAATGAGGTTCAATTCTAACAGAAATCAACACTTTGAAAACCAAAATGAAGATTTTAGTAACCAATTATCAGATTTTAGACCAGAGACGATAGCAGAAACTGTCTTCGACGATCAAATTTCAGACTGTAGCACAGAGACAGTAGTAGAAACTGTCTTTCAAGAACAAACCCAAGATTGTGTTGCGGAGATGGTTCAAGAAACTGTCTTTGAGATACAATTATCAGATTTTAGACCGGAGACGATAGCAGAAACTGTCTTTCAAGAACAGTCCACAGAACGTATTGTGGATGCACTTCAAAAGACAGTCCTATTTGACGAAAATTCACTTAAAGGCATAAAAGAGAACATTGAGAAGACAAAAACTTTGGGAAGCGTCTTAGGCAGTACACTCCAACAAATGGAGGAAATTCTGAAGGAAACTAAAGACAGAAAGACAAAAAAGAAAAAGAAGAACTGGTTTCAAAGGCTTTTTTCCAAAAAATCTGCCTCAGCCTGTCTCTTTTGTCTCCCAGTCGCTTGCATGTGTGCACTAGTCGTATTGTTCCTGATTCCTCTATTGTAGTTCAAAATCATATCTCAGCCTGCCAGTTTCTCTTCATTTAGTCTAGTCATTTCTAGTCCCCAGCTGGTGCTAGAAATTTTTTTTCAACTTGTTCTTTTTTACAAACCAGTTTAGAATATTTAATCTTAGTTAGTTAATTTGTTTGTTTGATTAACTTTAGTTAGAAATCTGATTTTAACACTGAGCAGTGCCATAAATTCAGATTTACCAGTTGGTTAGGTTCAGATTTCAAAAACAAATTCTGTCACGGTCTGGGGTTTTTTCACACACTAATTGGTGTAGAGTCTCATCTCTCCTCTGCAGGTGGGCGTGCCTGGAAGTTGGGAGGCTGCAGGTAATCTGCTGATTAGCTGGCCAGGGATATTTAAGCTCCTGAGAGACGCCTTCACTTTGCTGGATGATTAACTCAACTTGGGTATTTCTCCTAACAGCCAAATCCAAACTAAGCTTTGATTTTGAGAATTTCTGGGTTATGGATTTTTGATTTTTGAGATCTCTGTGTTTTTGACTGCTTGTTTTGCCTCCTGCAGATATCACCTATCAGTTCACCTCGTTTGCTGCTACCAACCTGGTTTCTTCACTGTCCACTCGTCTCTCAGCGTCCTCCTCTGGTCTTCCCACTCCAGGCTGCCCACCCTCCCTCCTGAATCACCATTACCCTTCATGCTCAGCTCCCTCCTCATTTGGACTCCAAGCTCATCAGCCTCCAGTAAGCCTCCTGCCCTCCCCAGACCGGTCACTCCTCCCTCTCTCACGAGCTCTCACCTCCAACCTGTAAGTTCCATCAGATCCAACATTCAGATTTCCGAGTGCCAGACCTAACTCTCCCTGTTCCTCCAGGATTCTCCACACCCGAACCTCGCTTCTCTGCCGAATACTGCTAGACTTCCTAGCAGCTCCTTCTGTTCTCCTTTTCTAATAAATTATTGTTTGCAATCTTCTTTGACTCTGTGGACTGATTCTGTATGTCGTGGGTTAGGCATCTACCACACAACATGACAGAATCATCCAGCCAGAATCCTAACCTCAGTACCGAATCAGTTCCACCTGTTATCACCGAAACCTTATCACAACACAGTTTAGCCCTTCATTCCCTCACCAAACAACTGTCAGACGCTAACCAGACTCTGTTTCAGTTGGGTGCGATGGTTAAACAATTAAGTGAACAGCTCACCAATCCAGAACCCTCTGCTCCGAGTCCGCCCGGACCCGTTACCTCGGCACCATCCATCCCGGCCAACTTCCGGGTTGCCTTGTCTCCTCCCCCCGAGACGTTCGACGGGGATCGAAACGTTTGTAGAGGTTTCCTCCTCCAGTGTAACTTGGCTTTCCAACGCTCCCCGGAGTCTTTTGCAACCGACGCAGCCAAGATTTCCTACATTGTCGGATTACTGCGCGGCAAGGCCCTCAGGTGGGCAGAAGCCAAGAGCCGCTCTCCGAACTTCCTTGCGGGCCCATTTACTGAGTTTTTATCCGAGTTTAACTTGACATTTGACAAATCCGAGCCCGCCTCAGAGCTAGCAAAACAGCTCTGGAACCTCCGCCAAGGCAAGCAATCAGTGGCTGACTTCGCCATCGAGTTTAGGACCCTGGCATCGGCTTCCACTCTCGACGAGGATTCATTAAAAGGGGCGTTTTCACAAGCCTTAAACGAGCGCCTCCAAGACCAGCTGGCTTTCTGCCAGGAACCCACAAACCTGGAGGACTTGATAATGCTCTGCAACCGGATCGAGAGGAGACTGAATGACCGTCATAAAGGTAACAATTCGTTTTTTCATCTTCAGACCCATACTCAGTCCAGGGCGGCCCAACCAGCACCATCCTCTCTCCCCAGCGAACCCATGCAGTTGGGCCGGGCTAGACTAAGCCAGGAGGAACGAGATAAAAGAATGAGATCTGGTCTTTGTTTGTACTGTGGCCTAGCTGGCCATTTCGTGTCTGACTGTCCCAAGACTTTAAACTCCAGAGCCCACCAGTAGAACCTAGGATACTGGTGGGCGGTTCATCTGCACTCATGAAGTCTCGGTGTGCTTTAGACTGTTCTTTAACCTTCAGTAAAACCTCAATATCCACCCGAGCCCTGATTGACTCTGGATGTGAACAGAACCTATTAGACCAACTACTAGTTGATCGGCTCGGCATAACCACTATTCCACTCGAGGCCCCAACGAGGGTTGTTTCTTTAGATGGCAGCTTCCTAACCTCTATAACCCATAAAACTGTTCCGGTTAACCTCTCGATCTCTGGCAATCATCATGAAACACTGACCTTTTTTGTTTTTCCATGTCACCAGTCAGAAATCGTCTTGGGGCATCCCTGGTTAAGTCTCCACAATCCCCGCATCAACTGGGTGTCTAACAGGGTGGAGGAATGGAGCAACCAATGTCACGTTTCCTGTCTGGGCACAGCTCGAATCCGCTCTGAGTGCAGAACCCCTGAACAACCACCTCCCGATCTCACTGGTGTCCCCAAGGAATATTTCGACCTACTGCAGGTATTTTCAAAGGATAAAGCTTCCTCCTTACCCCCCCATAGGCCTTTTGATTGTGCTATAGACTTGTTTCCTGGAGCTCCTCTTCCATCTAGCCGTCTCTACAACATCTCAAGACCAGAACGTGAGTGTATGGAAAAATACATCTCAGAATCACTCTCAGCTGGCATAATCCGACCGTCTACATCCCCTCTGGGAGCGGGGTTCTTCTTTGTTACAAAGAAGGATGGCACTCTCCGACCATGTATCGACTATCGAGGACTCAACCAGATAACAGTAAGAAACAAATATCCATTACCTTTGTTATCGTCAACCTTTGAGCCTGTACAAGATGCCTCCATCTTCACCAAACTCGACCTGAGGAACGCATACCACCTCGTCCGAATAAAGGAGGGTGATGAATGGAAGACGGCATTTAAGACACCAGTGGGACATTTCGAGTATTTGGTAATGCCGTTTGGGCTCACCAATGCCCCAGCTGTTTTTCAGTCTTTGGTGAACTCGGTTTTGGCTGATTTTGTGAACAAGTTTGTTACTGTGTATCTTGATGATATCTTGATTTTTTTCGAGGACACCTGAAGAGCATTCCAAACATGTCCGTGCTGTTCTCCACCGCCTTTTGGAAAATCGCCTCTACGTGAAAGCGGAGAAGTGTGAATTCCATGTCCCGAGTGTGAAGTTCCTGGGTTTTGTTCTGGAGAGTGGGAGACTGGGACCAGATCCTGAGAAGGTCCAAGCGGTACAGAGCTGGC